TTTTTATGTTCAAAAGTTCTGTTTTAACACAATTTTCAAATTTGTTCAATAGCCAGTCACCTGATGATGGCCTATTCCAGTAGGCTGAAAACGTTTGTGATCTAATAAATATTCTCAGCGTTATAAGGTGTTAAATGTTTTATTAAATGTTTTAAAAGAAGCTGAATTTGATATTCAATTTATTGACAATAGTAGAAATAAAATACCATATTTAGTTGCAAATAGAAATTCAGTGGCAATTGGTAATTTAAAATTTATTGACTCAAATGCTTTTAAAATTTGGGGGACCAAAAACGCACAATATAACGAGTGGCTACTATATTATAGTATATACAGAAATTTTTAAAATGTGTTTAACCATAACAGAATAAAAAGAAAATAACAACTTTTTCTGCTATTTTGTTGAGTTTTCCTTCTGTGTTTTCACTTTGTTTTGTCACTATTGCACTCACTTTTTATTCACTTTTTCTGTATTTCAACTCTCATTTTCAGAGGGGAAATGCACTTCCAGGCCTGTAATTTACAACTTATTATGCAATGCATCTTATTTTTCTGTCAATAATTCCATTGTGTCATTTTAGTGATTTTATTTGACTAATGTTCATAATAGTAAATATTGAAATGATCAACTAGCTTAATCTCATTAGTCTGTTACAGTAACATCGTAAGTTTTGGATGAAAATCCCAGAAAATGTAACTTACAAATGGAAAATAGTTGTGCGTGTGCATGTGTATGTCTTCATGAAATGTTACATTTCCATGCTTTAAATGGTACTGAGGATGATTGCATGCAGGAAGATTGAGCATTAGATGCAGTGTTGGTTCAAAAGAGCCTGACAAAGTGAAGAGGTTTCTATTCTCTGTTACCACAAAAGACCACAATATACTATATGAATTATTTTACTGTGCAATAAATATTGAACAAATTTATATCAACTGGATCAATTCTGTTGGCATAAATTTGTCTCAAGTTGTCTATTTTCATTAGTAGATCTGGAACTCTTGTTTCTAAACAACAATATCTCAAAATAACAATTCTATCATGAATAAGACAGATAATGAAAATGAAAATTATGGATTTGAAAAGGGAGTTGAAACAGGGACTGAAATAAATTGTTGATAAGAAAACATTAAAGGAAAGATTATAAACTGTTCTTTATTTGGAAGAAGACAAGGAAGATTGTGAGTGATGATGATGGTAAGGATTCCAGGACTATGACAGATTCCAATAGTGAAGAATAATGTGAAGATGGCATATTTTAAGAGACTAGCAACTATATTTACATTTAAAGGTAAGAATCTCTTTGCATATTTGGTGCAATGAATGGGGGTAAGTGTATGAAAAATGACTTTTGAGAGGTTTAGCTGAGTTAGTTTTGAAAAATGTTTGAAATCGTGGAGACAGCTGAAAAGGAATCCTTAAAATCAGAGTTGTCACCAAAAGTAAAACAGTTGACAAGTTCACAAACAGTTTTTTGCAAAGAAAAAAGAAGTCATCTGAATCATATTGTGAATATTTATGTAAAATGTTAGAAATCATCTCCCAAGTTAACAAGATTGTCTCATTAGTCTTGCAGTACATTATAGAAGACATTCCAGATAAAAGAGTTAAATTCTTAATTTATGAAGCAAAAAATGTTAGAGTTTAGAGAAAAACTGTCTAATTATGAAGCTGTGAAAAAAAATATTGGGCAAAAAGACTTCATCTCAATCTAATGAATAAAAACATTGTTTCAATTGCCTTAATCAATGATTCTTGTTCTTGCTTAATTTTGAATAATAAATTATGTTAAAACATGTATAAACAGAACTTGTGTTTACAAATACAGTGGAGCCTCAGTATATGACCTTAATCAGTTCCTGATGTTTGGACTTATACCGAATTGGACGTATACCAAACCAACTTTTCCCGTTAGAAGTAATGTAAAAATGATTAATCCGTTCTCATGTAAAAAAAAATTGCCAGCTTTAAACACCTCGCTTTCCTGGCTAGTTCCTGCTTGATTTTTCATGAGATCAGCATGTATCTTTTTAGCTTTCTCGCAAATAATTGCTTCTGATATGCTGTCACTAGCACACTGTTTTTCAGTTATCCAAAGCAAAAGCAATTTCTCAACATGATCTAATGTCTTTGATCTCTGTTTAGACATTGATTTAACCCCTTTCACAACGTTAGAAGATTTAATAATGTCTTTATTTTTCACGATTGTCGATATCATCATTCTCAGAATACAGTATGCAACAGTTAAATCTTGAACATGCATGCCACCTTCATATTTCTCAACAATCTCTTTTTTCAGTTCCATTGTGATTCTAGTCATTTTTTTTTTTTTTTTTTAGTTTTCTGTTGCTTTTCATTTGCCTTTCATTTGCTTTTTTGCAATTCATGATTAATAAAAATAATAAAATTTTACTTACAAATTAAAATCAGAAGAAATTTAACAAAGTTATAAACCGTGGCACCGTGAACATCTAGTCTGGTCTAGTACACCGGTAGTGCTACTTGCTCATAGATGGCACATATAATTGAATTAAGTCGTATACTGAGCAAAATTTGTTTCATCAAAACAGGATGTGTTTCGAATTGGACATATTCTAAAGCAGACGTATACCCAGGTACCACTGTAGTTGTTATATTTGAAAAGTATAGAATATTATAAATGAGAAATTGGCAATGCATTTCATTTTTTTCATATACAGTATATTAATGACCATTTTGTCCGTATATGATGCTAAAATGATTAAAAATCCAATTTCCCAGCAGTACGGACTTTCATGGTTTATTTTTCCATTTTGTAGAGAAATATTGTCAAAATGTACAAATTATTATAAATATTTTTAGTATGGACTAAAATGGTATTTCCAACAAAAATTTTGTCTTTAAGATACTGCCTGTAAATGCTAAGGAAATAATTGTTTGAAGGTGAAAACAAAAATTAACCAAATAGTCTTTATGGGTCTTATATCAACTTATAAAGAAATAAATTAATTTTTATATTCTACATTAATTTGATATACACAACATTATTAAATACAAGTACAGTAGAGCATTGATCAACCGTCGCATCGATTAACCAACCGCATTCTAGTCGGCAAATTCAAATGTCCGCTGGTGATGCAGCGCTATAATATTTGGCTATGTCTTGGCTACTTTAATATTATTTTCGTTAAATTTTTGGTGTTTTAGCTGGCAACACTGGCTTGACCATGAAAGGGAGGCCAGTATTTAAACGAGGCTTAATTTTCTAATTATGAGTGGTTATTTGTTTTGTGAGCAATAAAATAATTTAAAAATAATTTTTAACGACACAATAGCAACAATTATTATTTAAAATAAAATTTTGTTAGGCTTAACATCAATGAAAATTCAACACGAAGTAGGTTAATAGCAATATACTAATTACATGGGATATACTAATAATGTACTTTTACATACTTTTCGGTTATCTGTTTTTTCAGTTATCTGACCAACCCCAGTCCTCAATTGAGTCGGATAATCGATGCTCTACTGTATTTAAATTTTGATAGTCATTTGATTTTCAATATTTATTACTTTGAATATCATTCTAAATTATTAATTTTTAATTTAAGACTTGTGGAAAAGACTCTAAATATATCTTCAGTGTGTCAAAATTACCTATGATTAGAAATATTTTATTTTGAATCTTGAAATCCTCCATAATAAATAACGTTAAAAGTTTGTAGAAAATTAAAAAATTTGATTTTGAACCTTAAATAGTTAATAGAAGAATTAAATAGATTTCTAAAACAAAAAACTTCAAATCTAGGGTTTTATTTTAAAGTTCTTCTGCAGGATATTCTGTACATAATCAAAAAGGTTAAAATTAGCCTTAAAGAAAAATTTCTAATATCCTGGATGCTGTTCAATCCAACTTATTTTAGGTTATTTATATATGGAATTGTGAAATCCAGAATTTTTACTGAATTTTCTGATTAATATCCCGCATTTTTCTAAACCCCCAATTAAATTTTCCTTTAACCCTAAACTAAAATCTAACGTGAAAAAGGGAAAAATTCCAATCTCCCCTTTCGCTCAAAGTAAACATCCGTCCATTTCGAAAATAATCCCACATTCCAACTCCAAAGTTGATAGTTAGCATGGGCCTGGGGACAACTTTGACCCATCCGCATATCTTTTACCTCACAACAATTGGTCACATGACCATTCTCCCATGACGAAACTATAAAAGCCACTTGCTTCCCCTCTCGGGGGAGTCGTCTTGACAGTGAGCAGGTTTAACGTTCATCGACCGCCAACTACAATTTCCTCGAATACTGTGTCCTATCGATATATTGTGTCCTGAGAATTTATTATCCTTATCCTACCAGTTCGGAACCCGTTGGATATCATAATCTTTTTCCTCAAGAATATTTACAGACATAAAGAGGTATGGAACAAATTCTTGTGAACTCTCTCTCGGCCCTTCGTGTTTTAGGGACTCAGAATTTCCCCTCGATAATAGTTATTGTACCGTCTATGTAGATAGCTAATAATTCGTTGTTTTTTTGTTAAATTGGTGTCCTCTTTACTTATATATTGCCTGCCACCTTATCGACGGCACTCCTCCCTCCTCCACTCAATCCGAACAATTAAATCCCGTTACTGTGGGATAGGAAAGAAGAAACATTTAAGCCATCTTGACAGTGAGCAGGTTTAACAACCTGTCGCCAAAAAGGGCGACCTCCAACCTCCCCGATGGTTCACAGAATTAATTTGCAAAAGTTCTATGCCATTATGGACACCTGTTTGGCTATGCAGATTGAGTCCACATAATATTTGAATGATACTTCTATCTAAACAATTGTTTTAAGTTGTCCAGTTGTATGTTATTATCGTACATAATAAATTAAATTAACATAAAACTTAATTTATAGCAATAATTTTAGTTTTGTGATCTTATTTTGAATAATCTGATGCATTCGATATACATCAGAATACAGTTAATTAAGAAAATTGATATCTATTCTGAATTTTTTAGAATGTCTTCTGCAGCTAAAAAGAATCTTATGACCAGTTTGCCAGTTTCTGGACCTGCAAGTCCTCATCTTGAAACAACTACAGGAAGCACTATTCCATCTCCTAAATCACTGAGGTATGAATTTTGAATAAACAATATGTAATGATTATTGATTATATTGTTTTTTTTAATACTATTTCCATAATATATAATGTGAATAATATCAAATAATTATTGTTTAATAATGTCAGTTATTGCTTGATTAAATATTTTATTTTTTCTTGCTTTCTTCAATTAACTTTAATTCCATTTCCCAATATGTTTTATTCTATAAAATCTATTTATTAATTTAACTTAAACATCAATTTTTATACCATTGATTTTTTTTAGTTATTTTTGCTTTTCTTTATTAACAAGTACCTTCAGTGGTGTATAATTAATGCAATTAAATTTTAAGAAATTTCAAATTATATCTCTTTCTTAATTTTTATATAGAAATAGTTAAAGTTGGTTGCATTTAGTAATGCTATATAAGGGAGAACTTGTATCCTAAATATAGTATTTCTGAAACAGTTGTAATACTAACGTTAATTGTTTTTTTCTGAAATTAGATTTTATTTATTTTTTGTTGAGTTTATAGTATTCTGTTTGTTCTTATTTTTTTATAACTTATATCAAAACTTTTGAAATTATGATTGAATAATAAACCAAAAATTAATGTACAAGCTATTTTACAAGAGTTCTGAATTGAACCGAAAATTGTGCTGAAAACATTAATTAAATTAAATACTTGCAACATAAGATTTGTATGCATGGACAATATATTTTAAAAATGATTGTTATAACTTAGCTGAAAATGTTATTGATATATAGGTGTTATAGCTATTTAACATTTAAAGCACTGTTAAAGACTGATAACAATAACTAACTAGTAACAATTACATGTTATCTGCCATAAGTAGGCTTACCAGACGTCCCGTTTTGACCGGGATTGTCCCAGTTTGACTGTGTTGTCCCAGTGTCCCGGCCAGTTTGTCATTTTGTCCCGGTTATTTGGTAAAATTTTAAAGTGCCGAATATACAAGAAGTAAAAATAGTGCAGCCTCGAGTAAAATGGTGATTTGGCACTTACCCCTCTGTTACACTCACTGTTGTCAATCTAAATATTTCGTATCTAGATCGTACTTTTAATGTTGTCTATATGTTTTCCTCAAAAATTTATAGCATATGGCCTAATGAATTTAGATGTTTTATTTTGTCATTCAGATATTTTTTCACAGAATTTATAATAGCACGTAGTCAATGACATCTAGATATTTTTATTTCATTTTTTTTTTTAGATATTTTGTTTCAATTAGAGTTGGCAAGACTGAAACTTACACTGGCCACGTCATTGCTGTGCATGTCATCTCTTAGTCGAGTTCAAATTGCTGATCGGCATTTGCAATTATTTCGTACAGTATCTGCGCATTCTTTTATTCAGCGTTTGCAGCCCTTTTAGCGCATGTGTTCAATTATTAAGCCTACTGTCAGCGCGCTTAAGGTGCTCTTTCAGCGCACTAGCAGCACCTCTCGATTACGCTAAAAATAGTGCTTACAAGATGGAAGCATCCATGAGAAAGTATCTTTTTCGACTACCAAATAATAATCAGTTTTTTGCTCTTTTAAATAAGCAGATTTTTAATCGTGACATACGAAAATGGCTTTTAAAGATTTCATTCGAATACTGTGGTACGATATTGTGAACGTAACCAACGATTTTTGCACGCTTTCTTCGTTGTTGGGAATCAGTCATAGCCAATGCCATAAATAAATCATCATTTCCTTGTTTTCTTATAAATAACATCGAACTTAATGGCCTTTCTTCTAATATGCGCGTAAATATAGAAGAAAGAAAAACATTGTTTATATCAGCCATTTTGAGATAGCTCTTTCTCCGGCAAAAGTGTTTTCAACCGTCAACAGCGAAAACGTCATTTCCGGCAGCAACTGCTCAGCGCACTGCTGAATGAAAGAATGCGCGGTATATTAAATTCATTTAATCTCTAAAATGCCAAAAAGAAACCATGTGTTTATTGATGATTGAAAAAAAAGTTATATGATTGTATTGACAAAGTGAAATATGATCTGTGCTTTTCATAATTTTCAGTAACTCATGGTGAGCATCAAACATTTAAAATCATTTGAAATGTGTGAAACCTAAGGCAAGCAATAGGAACTTCCTCAAATGTATTGCCATATTTTAAATGTACCGATTTAAACGACAAAGAATTTTTAAAATAAATATTAATAATAAGATATGTTTAGTTCAGTTATTAAAAATTGCTTTTAACTCGTTGTTTTTGTTAACAAACTACTTTATTTAGCCTTTTCAATCATAGATACTTATCCTAGTAAGCTAATTTTCTGTTGCGAGTATTTTCTCAAAATTGTCCCGGTTTGAGAAGAAAATATTATGGTAAGCCTAGCCATAAGTTCAGGCTGAAAATGGAGTTTAAAAAGATATAGTTACTCAAACATAAATTAGTAGTAATAACGAAATGCTGATTACAATAAGCAATAATATATTTTAACTTGTATGTTAGCCTTAAGTCCTACTGATTTTGATGATGATAACTGACTGATAACATCATCCATGATTAGAATAAGGGAAGTCTACTATATGTGAAGCATGCAATGCCATAATTGTAAATGCCATTTTTCTTTAAATATGTTTTAATGAAGAGTTAAATTCTAAACACAATTAACTGTTGTCTTGGATGTCACGCCAACAGTTAACTCAATGAAAAACTTCAGACTAGGAGGTGTTAAAGAGAATTAAAAGAAATATTTTAATCTTGCAAGCACTTTCAACATAAATATGTACGTCATCTTCAGGCAATTCAAAATTGAAAAGAGAATTCGAACAGAAATTTAAATTTAAGCATTAATTAATTAATTTAACCCCTTAACTCCCATTGACGAGATAACTCGTCAAGGTTACATAGCGTTACATAAAATTCGGTAGTTAAGGCCACTTTTGACAAAAAATTTTTTTCAATTTTTGGAATGTTTTTTAGGTCCCCAAATTTTTTTGTCCGCGCGAAAAAATTTTATTGCGATTTTAATGAGCCTTTGATAAGGCTCGATTAAGGCTTAATCGTTTTTTAATGGGAGTTTTTTATCAAATTTATTTCATGGTTCCTAAGTTGTAGCGCACGGATTTGACTTCGGTAAAGTTATTTAAAGCTGCTTTATTATTTAAATTAAATTAAAATTAACATGCATAACATAAGAGCCAATTAGAATGGCTATTAAGAACAAATAAATTTTAGACATTAAATTAAAAACATTTTGTAAACACGTATGAAATTTGGCACGCATGCACCTTAACAAAGACAGCATAGAAGCCAATCGGAATAGAGCCATAAGTGCAAGTTTACATTAAAATTTAAATATAAAAGCATGGGACATAATTTAAAATACATAAAACACATGTAACATATAAAAAGACGCACATAAAGAGGCTGACGTGTATGTGCCTTGAACCACATAGGAGGTGCAGGAAATGAGTGTAGAATTATTGTTGATTTTTTAAATGCCTGTATAAATTAATGCAGACGTCCGGTAAGTTGAGGGTAGGGGAGTTGCACGGGGAGAGCAGTTTTGTGAGGAGGGCCTCCCAAATATATAGCAAGCTCCCTTCATCACAGTGTTTGAGTATTGCCACCCGATTCCAAAGCACTATGTGGTGTTGTTGTATCACCAATTTGGAAAGTTTCTATAGTTATATTCCAAAAACGGCTAATATTGTTAATGCTTAAATTTAAATGTTCTGTTCGAGTTCTCTATTCGATTTTGAATTGCCTGAAAACGACGTACATATTTATGTTGAAAGCGCTTTCAAGATTAAAATATTTCTTTTAATTCTCTTTAATGCTTCCTAGTCTGAAGTTGTCTAAACGCAATGTTTTCCACTGCAAAAAAATATATATATTGTGGCAATATTGTCACTGTAAGTGGCTATATTTTGAAGTTGAATTTATGTGAAGCCATAACATTTAAAGTGCCAAAGTTCAAGTCATGTGACTTTTGGTACTTAAAATGTTACACGAGATAGCCTGGGATGCCCCCTAGTGGGTGTTCTAGCAGCAGCGATGTAATTCCATTGTATAAATAATAAATTCATATCAATAATAAATTCCTATTACAAATAAAAATAATAATAACTCTGAATTATACTGTTATAAATAAATTGTATTGTTAATTTAAATAATAGTTGAAAATCATTGCTAGGGACGCCCCTAGTAGGTGTTCTAGGCATGCCAAGACAGATTACAGATATACAAACAGTAGGATCAATGGCTTATATAAGTAGATAATTTTGAAATTTCACAGAATTTGTAACCTAGTGAGTTTTTTATCATTTTATTGTAAAATTGAAATAAATTCATTCACTAGAAAATGTGTTTTTTACCTTTCTTGAAAAGTTTGTTTTTTCACATTTACAACATTATGGCATTGCACACTTCATGTGTTATAGTTAGTGCTCTGGAGTTTCAAGTAATAATTATATGAATAAAATGTATTGTTTAAATTTAGTATAAATGACCAGCAACGAGAAAATAACAATACTTCTGGAACTACAGCTATTGATTCAAGTGATTGTAGAATTCCTACATCATTAGCTGTGTCAACTAATCAAGATTCTTCAGAAACTACAGATCAAAGTAAGTAGCAAATATTTTAAAATATATTAAACAAATAGCCTATTAGATTACAGCAACAATGAAAAAGGCTTGTTACATTAAGATGAGAAGGAACCAGATTTAAATTATTCAAACATAACTTTAATTAAAATAATGGGGTTGGTATTTTAATTTAATTTAAAATATATATATATGTAGTCTATTTAAAACTTTTAGTAATTTAGCTATTTATATATATATATATATAAACAACAAGTTCTCACTTAACATCATTAAAGTAGGATACAAGCACTTGTAATCTTTTATGATATCATTGTTGAATTTTCTTTATAAACAATAAAATATATGCTGTGAGGTGGGAAACAAATACCAAAGGTTGCAAACATGATCCAATAAGAATATTATTAATTGAATTATATCTGATTTATGTCAATAAGCTTATGGTATAAATGGTTTTGTTATATGTTATTCTGCTAAATATCACAATATTTAAGAACCTATCAATGTCATTAAGTGAAGACTTGCTGTATATACAAGATCCAACACAAAAATAATGAGACTAATGCTTGTAAACTTTTTTATTCCAAAATAGTCTTCTTCTTAGTTTATAGAGTTGCATATGATGCTGTCACTATTCAAAACATTGATGCTGATCATTTTTTACAAGTCTATTCAGGAACTCTGTTTTTTTAAATCTCTTTAATTGCATAAAATTAAATCCTTTAAGCATGTGCTTGGATTTGGACTTTTGGGAAGAGGGAGAGATCATCCAAAATGAGATCTGATGAACAAAGAGGATAATGAAGTGCAATGATTTTTTTTAATTGGTTAAAAATGATTTTACAGACAGAGTGTTGTAGGATAGCATGTCTGCTATCCTGATGCAAGATTCACTTGTTTTTCCATAAGGATCACTGTTTCTTTCTTACTGATTTGTACAATAATCAAAATTTCAATATAATAGTGTTGATACTTAGTCTGGCCACTGGAAATCCACTCTGTTGTTACATCTTGGATATCAAAGAAAGTGGGGATGATGATCTGGGCAGTCATAATCTTTTATACTTTCTCTGCCTTCTGAAAATTATTTATGCCATTTCAAATATATGCATGAGATTTACAATTTTCACCATAAGGCTGTTAGTAATTGAAATGTTCATCATAAATTTCTTAGGTTTGAAGAGAAATTTAATGTTAATTTGTTACTCACTTTCTGAATCAATCAGATATTTTCTAATCAAGAGCAAAGATGTATCTGTACTAAAACCCTTGTTCACTGCTACTGAATAAATCAAATAGGATGTAACTTGAACTGTATTCTTACAGTGTGACAAATAGTTTCTGCTTATTTCTCAATTTATTTTCATTGTTGGTTCTTGAGTTTTAAAGTTAATCTTATTACAATAGAGCATTGATTATCTGAATACTGATCATCCAAAACATCGGTTAACCAAAAGCATTCCAGTCAGCAAATTCAAATTTCCGCTAATGCTGTGGCACTGCAATATTTAGTTATGTCTTGGGCTACTCCAATATTATTTTTGTTGGTGTGCATGTTTTAGCTGGCAGCACTGGTGTGACCATGAGAGGGTACTTAAGGACATGCCAGTATTTGAATGAAGCACAAAACAAGCAAAACTCACCACTCAGTGGTGAGTTTTGCTTGTTTTGTGTGATGTTTTTCTGAGGACTGTGTGTCATGCTGAATTGGAACATTTTTGATACTAGGTTAACTTCCGAAATATAATTTTTTTTTTGTTTTTATATTTTTCAATATATTTATTTTGTTTGTGCAAAATAAATAAATAATTTTTAACGATACAATAGCCATGATTATTATTTTTTAAAAATTTTTTGTTAGGGTTAATATTGACAAAAACTCAATGCAAAAAGACACGCATCAGAGAAAAATTTCAACATGGGATAGGTTAATATATTTTTTCATGCATGATCAATTATCCGAACAACCCCAGTCCAAAATTGTTTCAGATAATCAATGCTCTACTGTATTTTTGTGTCGTGTCTCATATATACTTACAATGTTAGTTTTTAATAGTTAGTTAGTTAACAATTAATTAATAAAATTATTGTTTTTATTTGGTTATATGAATTTAAGGAGTCAAGAAACTTTTTATTATCTCTGATTTTCATTTCAATTTTATGAACTATAAATTAAAATATATTTAAAATTTTCTAAAGATGATGAGATTGTTTTGAAATATATTTCAGATTCAAACACTTCTGTAGAAGTTAGTAATAAGTTGTTATCAGTGCCATCTGTTCCTGTTGAAGCATCTCCTAGGAAAAAACCTCGGAAACAGCAATTGTAAGAATTTATATTTGAGAAAATAATTTATAAATAAGAGAAATTATATATATTATAATGGGTTTAACTATTTGAAGACTAGATAATGCATGATAAAAGATATTAGGATATTCTTTATATAATCAGTTTTTCAAAAAAAAAAAAATTATTTAAAATATTTATTTAGGATGAATACTGAAAAATTACTTATATTTTGGCTACATGTCTGTCTTTAAGAGTGAAGAGGAGAAACAAAGAAAGCACTTAAGTGAATTTTAAGCTTTTACTAAATGAAAAACATTTTTGTCAAATTACAATTGAAGAAGTTAGTTATCTCAGAAAATTATAGAGGAAGTGTTATCTCAAAAAATTATATTGAAATGTAAAAAATGCTATATTCTATAATAATGAAACAAAGTTTATTTATTTAACTATCTGAGTTTAATTAGTGAAAATAAAATACATCTTAAGGTCAAATCTGATTTCACTCCATCAGAACAATTGCACAATGAAATTTTATAAAATGGAAATTAACTGTTAAAACCAATTTATGCAGACAGTAAAATCAAGAGGGCAAAAAATTAAGCAGAGGCATCAACAGTTGATTTAACTAATTGTCATCTTAATTTTTTTTGCATTTATTCAATTTACACTGTCTTGTAAAATAATTACACATAAATCACATCAAAAAGTTAATTTTTTTCAATTGTGCCTTATTTATTGACAAGACTGTGTCTTATTTATAAAATTGCACTGCCTGATATGTTACCAGCTTAGAGGTATGAAGGAGTACATGTCAGGAGTTGCAGTTTGGCACAGAGTATTAGGTGCCCAAATCATGTGCACATAAAAAAAAAACCATACTTGTAGGTAGTCGGGGAATGGAGAACTGAGTCAAAATAAAATACAAAATGGCGACACTCTCTACAAATAGGCAGTAGTGCAAGATTTGCGCGTGCGTTGCTCGTTGATAAGTTGGAAATACGAATATTGTGAAATCGAATTGAATGAAGTTGACTCATCCTGTATGTATAGTCTCAAGAAATATATTTTTTGTAAAAGTATTTTTATATTAATTAGTCAAGTTTTTTTAAGGTAGTTATGGATATCTATTTGTTTATAAAATAAATGCTTAAACTTAAATTTGTTGAAATTTAATTTTCAGTGTATAATTTTTGACAGATTTTTGTGGGGTACTAATGAAATGTATGCATTAAAAAGGGGCAGTAGTCCAAAAAAGTTTGGAAACATTGCTCTAAGCCTTTTGTTTTGTTCAGTTTCAAATATAACAAATCAGCTGATATTTGCCTGAAAATTTAGTATTTGTAGTCAGGAAAGGCAAGAATATTTGGTATTTGACCAAAACACTCTATTTGGTTAATTTCTAGACTAAACATTAAAAAAATGAACAAAAAAAAAGGAAATATTAAAAGTAATATTTCTTTTCCTTATTAAAATTTATTGCTGTTTTATTATAGTCCTAAAATAAGTTGTTCGTGTGATTACATTTTTAAGAATTAACTAAAAATCATGTTTTTTTTCTTTCTTTTTTTAATATATAAATTTGAAACTTTGAGCTATTGAATAATAGATGAATTAAAATTTTTTCCTCTAGAGCTGCTAATGAACTGATAGAAGCACATTCAACTGATGGTGAAGAAGATTTTGAAAAAGATGTTAAAGATAACATTAGAAAAGAATTGATTAAAGAAGGTAAATGAAGTATAAGGTTTTGTTTGTTTGTTTATTTTCTAAAACATATAAAAACAATGCAAGCAACTTATAAATGTATGAAATAGCCTCCTGTTACAGAATACAAATATGGAACTCACATTAAAAAGATAAATTAAAAACTATTATAAAACTTAAGAATATGTGTAAAGTTTTTAACTTTTAAAATTTCTGAAATATAAATACAAATACTTTACAGTTTCAAAAATAGATTGCACAATAACAATTATCTTTGAGTATTAATTTAAGTATTTAAAAACTGATATATTAAAAGAATGTATATGGAAAGACAAGTTTATGAATGTTGATAATATCCAAAAAAAAAAAAAAAGCTTGCAAGAGCTCTTGCACAGCTTTCTTAGCATTCATAATTTACAAAGTTAAGGTTGTGTGTAGTTCCATCTGTTGTGAGATTTCATTTAAAATTTTTAATTAATTTTTTTCAGTACATAAAAAAACTCCAGCAACGAGTTGTGTAACTTTCCCGGACAGATTTTAAAATTGTGTGTGGTGCCATCTGTTGTGAGATTTCATTTTAAAAACTTTTTTAGCATTAATTATTATAAAATGATAAAATATTTCATTTTGAGGGTAGAGACGAGTTTTATAAACAAATCAAGCCCACCAGTGGCCGAATAAATAAAACCATTGAACACTGGTAGTTGGTCCTAACCAATGGGCTGGTCACCATGCAGTGTTCTGGGTCTAACACCTAAACACAATCCAGTTTCCACATAGAAAGTCCTGCTAGAAGTTACCCCATTGACAGATCACCNAACAAAAATATGTATATAAATACATGCATAGGTTAATTAAATATTAAAACATTATATAATAATACATTATATGAAATTAAAAGAAATGCAAGATAAGCAAAAATTCAAACAAACAAGGCGTTAAATTAAGAGCTCTCTAATCATTTAATTAAGTATTTCCAGGCTGAAGGCAACCCTTCAGAATCTCTAGAATTAATGCATTTATCATGCAATCTGCTCTTATATACTTCAATTTTTTCGGCACAAATCGTCAACATCGGTGAATGTACTGGTTTAGTAATACTTGCTTCGTCCCATTTGACGACTGTGTCCTCAACTTGCGCCAACTGCAATAGTATTGTGGCATTAGATTCCTTGCTGATATTGTATTTGTGTTCTTTTAATCTGACTCCTAAGTTTCTATTAGTGACACCAATGTAATTTTTGGTGTCACTAATAGAAACTTAGGAGTCAGATTAAAAGAACACAAATACAATATCAGCAAAAGACCACTGATCATTGTTGTCCTATTCCAGACGGAATAAAAGGCTGAAGGGGTTGAGATTGATCATCTGTAAGAAATCCAGGATGGCAGATTTATCCCGCCAAACTATTAAAATATCATCAACTTATCTGGTATATAGATAAATGTGGTTGGTGAAGGCAGGAAGGACAGAGATCTCTAGTTGATGTACTACTAATTCACAAAGCAAACCTGATAAAGGGCTGCCTATAGGGACTTACTTTGTAGGGAAGTTTCTCCTTCAAAGGAGAAAAAAGATGGATGGCAGAGAAAGTTGGTTAATTTCAATATGTGTAGACAAAGTGTCATCACCCACCATACAACTTGAAAAGAAGATCAAGTCCTTCATCATGGACCATCTCCCACCTTACCCACACTGCATTGCTAACACTTTGGATTTAATAGGTTGCCTTAAGGAACTTACTATCCAGGACAATTTTCACTTTATGGTCTTTGACTTCCAATCACTATACCCTTCTATCCACATTGAACCTTGTTTCTGCTCCCTCCAGGATTTCCTCCTCTCCCATGTTAAGGACACCAACAAACATCACAAATGATAAAACATAGTTAGTTGCCAGGTCTATGAGTTTTGACAAAGGCAAAGATGCATGGGGTTGCTGGGGTGGTGACGGCAGCATGGCAGAGTTGGAGGATACCTGCTAGGAGGAGTTGGTGAGTCAAATGACTCTAGCCTGTAACTTACTTGGGTAGTTATTGGGGGCAACATATAGTCCTGTATTCCCTTGCAGTATGTGGATTGGAGCATCAGTACGGTGTTCTTAGATTTGTTTGCCTTTAGGGCAAAGATGTCAAGTGCTTTCGTCCATGTTTTGGTGTCCTGAATGGATTTCCAAATGGATGTCTGGCTCTATGAACACATTTATTCCTGTGGATAAAGACCATTTTCCTCCAGTAAAATTCTTTATATAGATTTTCCATGCCTCCTAGAAGTTCTACTTCTGGGATGATATTCTTGGATACTATCGTAGAATGTGGAGGGCATTAGTTCCGCTCGCATAACATTGCGCCCTAGAGAACGCAACGGGAAACCACTCTTGGTACTATCTTTCCCTAGTAACGCCTTGGTGTATTTACTAACTACTTACTAATCTGCGCTGGGTGTGGCCGAGGTCGGGAAAAACCTGATATGGCACTATGAGATGAGAGATCGTAGAAGGTGGAGGGGGTGTAGGATCCTGTCATGTTGAAAAGGCAACATAGGGTGCTTCTGCTTGCTAAGTAAATTTGAAATCTTGTTGTGAAGTTTACATAACCAGGTGGTGACAGAGTCTGCTAGGCCAGGGGTCGGCAACCTGCGGCTCTTTAGTTCTATACGCAAATATTATTTATTTTATCAAAAAAAAAAAAAAAAATTTAAAAATTGTTCTGAATCGATTAACGAGGATTAAGCACTGATTCTATCTCTCAGCCACTTGTACTCACTTTCCACTGCACCTCTCTCCCGTGACACGCGTCGTCACTGTCGGAAGCTCTCGAATGACGCCGTCATCAGATGTTTCTATTATCTAATTTGTTGTGAAAAACAATACTTATATATGAATAAATAGATATTTTTTTTTTATGAATAAATAGATTAGTTTTTTTTATCAAAAAACTTTATTTATGCGAGTACTATTTATTGTTGGCAAGAAAAAATTTTGTGGCTCTTTAAAAACTTTGAAATTTTCCAAATTGTAATTTTGGCTCTTCCAACTCAAAAGAGCTCCTGTGCTAGGCCAATGATGTTTTGGTTAATGTGTGCAAGTAACTGAAAGTTACAATGGTAGATGTTATTTTCTAGAACTATGATTGCTTTGAGGATGGCGTATTTATGTCTCCTGGTATGACAGATGGGTTTATGTAGGTTTATGTATGATGATGGGTTTATGGGTTTAAGTGGACTTGGTGGAGGATGGATGCACAGTCTAGAGAGAGAGTTATGTTGAAAATTGAGGTAGGGAAGATGCCTAAGGTAAAACATTGACAAAGGAAGTCCAATTTAACAGTTGTTTGGCAAAGGTGCAGGATGAGTTTGCGGTAATGTTTAGTTGGCATAGCCATTTCTAAGTTAACAACTGCTACTTCACAACTGGTTAATATTAGACAAAAGCAAAACACTGCCTAAATCTAACAATTTTTCTCTGGTTTGTTAGGTTTTAGCAGAGTTTTATTTTTGTCTAATATTAACTAGTTGTAAAGTAGCAGTTGTTAACTATTGTTTGTAGTTAACTATTCTTACATATAATGATTAATTTATATATATAAGAAATAATTAATTATTAATCTATTTATAAACAACAAACAAAAATTTTTTTAATTTAGAAGAAGAAAATGTAAAATGGGTTACTTTTTGTAAACGACCAACTATGTCTTTGCTGAGTGGTTATCAGCATACTTGGAAATCTCGTCATAATCATTTTCTGAAATATAGTGATGTTAAACCAAAAGGTAAAATTTTAGTTTTTTGTTTTCTACTATATATTTAAATTTTAAAATGTTTTATTCTTAATATATAAATTTTAAATTGAATACAATTAATATTATTTGGTATATGGAATTACTTATTTCATTATCAAATAATATATATTTTACAAGATAGTTATATATGTTTTATAAAAACTAAATACTACTAATTAGGTGTTTTTTCCTCTGGAAGTGATAACATATATAAACTTTTTGTGATGAATTGCTTTACATTACATTCATGAAACTTTGTTTGTTATTGGGAAGTTTTTAAGAGATTAATAATTATTGTAAGCATTGTAATTTTATTTTTATAAAAAGAAAAAGCTCTCTTTGTAAGAATAAGCATCAAAAAATGTCACACAGCCAATCAGAATCAGCTTTATTTATGACATATGATAAATATTATGCCTATCACAAATCTAACATTGCAGTCAGCAAACCAGAAGTGCCACCATTATTTATATCATGCTTCAAAGATTTAATGGACAATTTAAAGTGGTTTAAAATGTGGTATAAGTGATATTTTGTTAGTAGTGGTATATTTATTAAATACTTTCCTAATTAATTTCATGTTTATAGTTAGACAAAAACAATTTCCATTACATTCATAATGTAACCAGATGCATCACCATCTATAATGGTGATGCATCTGGTTACATTATGATGGTTTTACTTTATCCTTTAAAATTTTTAAATTATTTTAAACATGTTGGGAAATTTTTACATTATGTCGTTTTTACCTAAATATCCATCTTGCATATACCCAATCAATACTATTTATTTAAATTATTTTTTTTTTTATTAGCACATACTGATTCCTAAATATCTTTATATGTATTTAACTATGGTAAAAACGAATAAAATTTACATTGCAACATAAAAAGAATTTAATACAGATTTTATATTATGTATATATTAGTGGTATGATTGTGCCTACCATGTGTGTGTGTGTGTGTGTGTGTGTTTAGAAGAGAAATGAGATAATATCTATATATTTATTTATTCAGTATTTCTGAATTAAATAATGATTATGGTCCTTAGTTTTAATTCATAATGACATGTTTCTATAATTGAATTCCTTCTTTTTTTCCTCAATATTTTAAGATATAGAATACAAAAAATTATAACAATTAACACCTAAATGCTAATTCCAGCACTGAATGAACAAAAAATTTTAATGCTCGAACGTTTTCGGTCTTTTTTTACTTTGTTGGTCAAGCTTACATCCAAAAAAGGGGCATACCAATGAGTAGCCCAATCTCTGGGGATCTGTGTGAACACTAAAGTTAGACCAGGAAAGTCACACAGAGGTTAACTACTTAGATGTCAAGATTAATACGGCAAATAAAAATATAACCACAACCATTTACCGCAAACCAACATACTGTCCTCTCTTCATACCTGCTAACTTCGCAGACCCTTGGCCTTTTAAGCTATCAGCTTTTTGTGCCCTAGTCTCAAGGGCTTATTCCCACTGCTCTGATACTTCCGACTTCAACTGACACAACTTACGCTCGTTGGAGGCTCTTGAGATTTATATAGAAACCATGAAGGGAAACTGCATTAACTCTGATTGTATTCCGATTCCACAATCATGGAAGTATTATTTACATTGCCACAAAGCACAACAATAATTGTATGTGTAATTATTTTTCATCTTTCTGCTTTGTAAAAGAAAACAATTTCCACATCGTTTACATCATGCTAATTTTTACGCTATAATAATAATTTATGTGTAGCTTTATTTAAAAATAATTATTTTTATGTTGTAAATGTAACATATTTTATATTGTACGGTATGTTGTTTAAACATTTAAAAATTTGGAATACAGCTGTATTCGACGGTTAGAAGTTTTCAAATGATAGAACTGTTTTTTTTTTTTTTTTTTCATACGTTCCTGAGGAAGGCCTCTAAACGACAGCTGAAAACATTCGAGCATTAAAATTTTTTGTTCGTTCAGTGCTGAAATTAGCATTTAGGTGTTAATTGTTGTGTTTAGTATATAGTTCCAGTTTACTTGTGCTAGTTTTTTGTCTGACAAAAAATTATATAAAATAAAGAAAAAATTATTTCTATCTTCTGAATGAAAACTGATCATTTGATTTTACTTTGTACAACATGTCAATAAATTAGTATAGTTTGTCTTAGTGATTACTTTAAACCTTATAAATTTATTATTGTTTGTGAATACAGTAGAGCATCGTTTATTCGAAACGTTGGTTATACGAAAGCATTCCAGTCGGCAAATTTAAATTTTCGCTAGTGCTGTGGCGCTGCAATCTTTGGCTATATCTTGGGCTATTCCAATATTTTTTTTTTGGTGTGTGTATTTTAGCTGGCAGCACTGGCACTATTGTGTGATGTTTTTCTGAGGATTGTGTATCATGTTGAATCAAACGTTTTTGATAGTAGATCAACTTCTAAAGTATATTTTTTCAATATATTTATTTTATTTGTACAAAATAAAAAAATAATTTTTAACGATACAATAGCAACGATTATTATTTTAAACAGTTTTCATTAGGCTTAACATTGACGAAAATTCAATGCAAAGCGATACGCAACAGAAAAATTTTATCATGGGATAGGTTAATATATTTTTCGTACATAATTGGTTATCCAAAAAATAAGTTATCCAAACAACCCCATTCCCCAATTGATTCGGATAAACGACGCTCTACTGTATGTATATAAAAATATTAAAAATTGAAAGTGCTTGAAGATAGCTTTTATTTATGCTGTACAATATTTATTATTAAATACTAATGCATCTAATACAAATAAGGATTAAAAGAAAGAAGTAAAAGAAAAATAAACCATAAAATATTAGTTTATGCTAGCATATTGATCTGTTATGATTATTTGAGTAATAAAATTTTTTTTAGCAAAGTTGTCAAGTTATAATTCTGTTTATCCTATGTAGATGACAGATTATGAAACTGTTTATAAAAGATCTGTCTGTTATTAAATAGTTCCAGCCATAAATCATTGTAATTATTTTATACTTAATCTTAGTTTTTGATATTTACTACTGCTACTTTATTATTATTATTATTTTTTAACAGATCAGTTTTTTAATTTAAGAATTTTGTAATTGTGCTATGAATTTTTCTGAATCAGATAAAAATAATTTATTTAATTTGATAAAACTGCAAATAATACAATCTAACATAGATATTCTAAGCATGAACAGATGGTCTCAAACAATTCCTTATATCTATCCAATATTCATTTTAGTAACTCTGACAGATATATACAAACTGTCCATCATATAAAGTAAATGGGATTCAGCATACATCATATGAAAATTATGTCTGTCATACTTGCAATGTATTTTCCACTATATTCTATGTGATGTTTCATCTTCTTAAATCAACTGTAGAAGTAATCAACTTACTAGATTTCTGAGATGCATTTACATGCATTCTGTAGACAGAAATTGGATCTACACTCTGCTAACATCATCCACAAAGCAGTTCTTTGATTTATAGCAATAGAAAGTAATAACAACATATCAGATTTGGTCTATAGCAGTGGTATTCAATCTATGGTCGTGACCCCATTTGGGGTCACACTGTTAAAATGTTTGAATACCATTGGTCTATAGGATGGATGGTTTACTAGTTGAATATTTAATTCAGTCATGAAATCCATTGTTTTTATAGAGGCATTATCATGGAGAAACAGGAGACCCTAAAGTTTGGTCTTTGGAAATTTCCAACAGATCTTTCCTGGAAGATTTGTAATAGACAAGTAGTAACATATCAGTTGGCAATGACAATCCTGTAGGCTCACAATTGCAACATGCCTTGGCCAAATTTGGCAATCAACACTTCTGAGCTATTTCACCTTTACTGGTGATAGCTTATCCAGAAACACCCAAATAACATCTTGATTACTGCTTTGTTTCCAGGTCATACTCATAGATTTATGTTTCATCATCAGTCATGATCTCCCAAACATGCTTTGATTGCCCATTTTTCAGATCATGTAGCACCATCTCCTCCATATAAGCCTCTTTCTGTTGATTTGACAGGAAATGTGGAACTTATTTACGTGACACATTCCTGACATGTAGTTTTTTGCTTAATATCTTATATATTGATACTGATTCAATACTAGACTGAACTCTATGCACAAATATAAATATCCATTAACCCAATTTATATATTAATGCCAAACGATTGCTAGATTACATTGGGCTATAAAACTACTTGACTTTTAATTATTAATTAGTAACCTTAGTATAGCCTGATATAATCTGGCAATTGTTTAGCATTAAATTCTACATCTATATATATTACATATGGATTTGTTCTTACCATAATCTTAACACAATTCACTTGTTCTAAGACTGCCATTGTAAGGCAATCATTTGTCTTTCAGAGTAATCCTGTCACATCAAAACTTACCAAATGATCAAAACATTCCCAAAAGGGATGGAGCAGTCTCTGAGAAAGCATCTTGCAAATAAAGGAGTGGTTGGATTTCAGTTATAAAAATCATTCAATTTAAAATCATAAAAAAGTCATTAATTTTTAGCCTTGAGTCAACTCCATTCTAATGGCCAACAAACAAAAGAACTTCTGGTCAAGTTACAATATAGAACAAAGATTTCATGTTAAAGTAAAAATGTTTTGACTGATTACAAGTGGAAACACTTTATCACCCAGCATACAGTCTACATATGAGTGTGCCCAATTACAACTTGTTATATAAGTCAAAGATTCCACTCTAGAGCTAAGGTTTTTCAACATTGTACACCCTGAATACAAGTGTGATCTGACAACTTCAAAGCCTTCAAATAGCTATTACAGGTTTGGGAAGCAGTTATGTCTCCAAAGGAAATATTTTGAATGTTGTTAGTGCATAAACAATCAACAAATGGAATGATTTTAACATGTAATGATTTTAACATGAAATAACCCTCAAACACACACTGTATTCAACAATGAGTGAATGTGTTTGTATTTATGTGTTTTAGTATATTAGTGTTAAAATTTCAAATTTGAAAATAAATATTGGCCAATTGAGGACATCACACAGACCATTGTCTAGTTAAATTATTAGTAATAAACTTTTAAATGTACTATAAGTAATAATTTGATATAATATTTGTATTTAATTTAATGAAATACTATTGTATTATATACATTTTAAAATATATATTATATTATAAATAATTTCATTTCATAGAAGAAAAAAGGCAAACAGTGAATGATTTGGTAAATCAGAAAGGTGTTTTGCAAAAAGCTAATGGTTGGAAAATGTATCATTTAACAACCCAAATGGATGAAGTTGTTAGTATTTTTATTACAATTTTGATTGTATAAAACCATTTTAATGATTATAGCTAAAAATATTTATTTAATTGATTTGGTAGGTTGAATTAGAAGATTCTGTATATAACAGGCTGTCCCAACTTCTTGACTTTGTTGAAAATAATCCACCAGCTTGGAAATCAAAACCATTGAATGGAGATGAAGAGAGAGTCCTTAATAAAATTAGTGATTTAATTAAGGTAATTATGTTTTGAGCTTTTAGATATTTTAAAATTTTAATTATGGTTATAATATAATCCATTATTTTTGCTCTTTATATTACATACAAATAAAAATTGTATAAATTGCATTTATACATGAGAATGAATATACAGATTATTAAATCTAAATACTATACAGTAGAGCATCGATTATCCGACCCCTGATTAACTGTCACATCGGTTAACCTACCATTCTAGTCGGCAAATTTCAAATGTCCACTAGTGATGTGGCGCTACAATATTTGGCTATGTCTTGGCTACTTTAATATTATTTTTGTTAAATTTTTGCGTGTTTTAGCTGGCATCAATGGCGCGACCATTGAAGGGAGGCCAGTATTTAAACGGGACTTAATTTTCTAATTATGAGTGGTTGTTTGTTTCGTGAGCAATAAAATAATTTTTAATGATACAATAGCGACAATTATTATTTTAAAAAAAATTGTTAGGCTAAACATCAATGAAAATTCAACACAAAGTTGGTTAATAGCAATATACTGATAAACTAATTACATGGGATATACTGATATCCTAATATACTATACTAATAATGATGCAAAATCACTTGAAAATTGTTTGTCTTGAAAAAGTGTTTAGACAACTATTTTAATTGTGGTTATCAATATTAATTCAGATAGGACTATGGCGGTTGATTGCAGAGACAGAGTTTACATTAAACGACGTTTATCAATGAACGGTCTATAGCCATTGGCTGGCTGGACCACAGTTTAAAATGAATTGCAAAGACGACGATCATCTATTTCTGACCGTTCTCTAAACAAACTTCGGCAAAACATTGGCTCTTACTTACTTCGCTATTACTCCCCTGTTTTAGGAGTCGTTTGGCCAGTTGGGTTATTTCTTCGTGACATCAGAAATGGTCATCAGCTATATTCCGAAAGCTTCCAGAAATAAAATCTTAAGGCCGTCAAAATCATTGTTCGGCAATTAATGACAATCCTTTTCCATTTCGATATTTAATTTTGTCGCCAATACGATTTAAAATATGAACAAATCCATATTTAGAAAATTTATACCGAATTCGAAATTCGTCTTCGGAATAGATTTTTAAGGAATTATTTTGACATCTTATTACTGTCGAAATGAATAATTTTAAATATTTTATTATTAATATTNGGATACATTTGTGCCTAACCCAAACTGTCCCCATTTCACACTAACTGTGAAAATTTGTTTCCAATCCAAACTAAATATTTCAGAATAACTGGCTGATATGTTCCTCATCTTGGCCATCCAGTCATCTAATTTATAGCATTAAAATACTTCAGAAACTCTTTTGATATTTAGTTATTCATTCAGTTTAAGAAGTTCAATTATTCTGAGTAGAATTTGTCTGTACATTTAGATTAATCTGGAAACTAAAAGTAGCATATGATTCAAAGTCTGCACTTTTTATTATTAAAGTTACATGAATAGGATTAACCTTAATTGTTTTTGGCAAGATTAAATAATGAACATATATATTTTGTTGTAGAAGTAATTTTTTTAGAAAAAAGTTGTTTTATCAATTGACTTGGTCTCATATACATTGTTGTCAAGAGACAAAGCAAACCCCAGTTTGGCATTCTCTCATATTTGTAATATTTTTTTTTTTTTTTTTTTGAAAACATTTTTATATAGTGAGTGATCAGTTAACGAACATAATCTGTTTGAATATTTTGTTCACTATTCGAATTGTTCATTAACCAATTATTGATTTACCATAGGTTTTTATGGGAATTTGATTAATTCATTCTGGAGACCCCAAAAAATTAAAAATATATACTTTCTTGCTATGTTTATTTATATGTAACTAGCAGACCCCGCCACGCATTGTTGTGGCTCAAAATGTATCTATCATAAATGTATAACACTTCCCCTTTTACAAACTGTTCAACTTCATATTATCCATATAAAAGTAATAGCTCTCAGTGATATTAATTGCAATTATCATCAATGAGAAGCAATAACCAGCTTTCCATTTCTATAGCAGTTTTACTACTACTGAAATTATAATATCTCATTCTAAAGCTGTGCCTAGGACAACTTTAAGAAGCAGAGAGCAGGCAGGCACAGAGAAAAATTCTAATAAATACACCAGAAAAACTTGTATTGAAACTTGAGCATAGAACTAAAGATCAGAAGTTAGAAAAAGAGCATAAAGCCAACTTAAGAATTAAAAATAAAAACTAAGAAATGCCTAAGAGAATTGAGTGAATCTTTGAGCTCTTCTGAAGATGAGGTAGTACCAACATTATCTGGGTTTGGATATGACATTTATCAATAAGGTATTCGTGGACAGTGATTGTGAACCAGAAGCAGATACTGACAACTTATTAGTCAGTATCAGTGACCAGTATCAGTATCAGAGACAATTTCGAACATTAATGAGACTTGATTTTCATAATCTAAATAATAGCAGTGAGTGATTAGGTTATTGTAAATTTTGTGTCTGAAAAAAATAATAAACTTCATTGTTATGTAGGCCAGATAATGGGAGAAAAAGTGATTTCAAGATTAAACTTGCTTGAAAGAGATGATAAAACTTTCAAGTTTCCAGAAAATGAATATTTTGGTTAAATGGCCTTTTATCAAATTAAAATTGCCTATTCAGTTTTCAAGGTATACAATAAGTGTGTGGGATGTTTCATTTTTTGTTATCTTTGTTTATTTTTAACATTGAATAATACTAAGGATAAAACCCTTAGTGTAGGCTACTTAATTGTGGCTTTTAATTTCTTGTGAAGTTTTTAAAAGTTTTTTTTATGTTTAAGAAAGTTAATTGTTTTAATCTAATAGTTATTAAGACAATACAGTCATGTTCATTATATTACTTGTGATTTTATTTAACCACTAGCTGCAAGGACCCGCTTCGCTGGGTTTTTATTTGTTCGTACATTTGTATGTAATATAGTTTTTTTATATATATAAAAGACTGTTTTTCTAAGTAATCTAGAATCTAGCTGCAAGGACCCGCTTCGCTGGGCAAAAAGTAACGATAGTGAAGATTAAGATAATTACATTATAGCTAATCTTATCCGTTTTCACAGAATGCAAGAATTAGGTTTCCCGTTTCCAGACTAATTAGAGAATTTTTACGTTTAGTCAAACGAACTGTTTTCAACGTTTCTGGAACGTTTAGAATCGTTCTATAATCGAACCAATATACGAATTTTATGTTTGAATTTAATTCGAACAAATTCTAACAAAACATTCGAAATAGAAAGCCACTTTCAACCACTTTCAGCCCCATATCTCCCGCACCCTTATAGCTATCAAGACACAACCCCCCTGGTGCACGAATGGAGACTTGGGGCTACTACCACATACAAACACCATTCACGTGCGATGTGTAGTTTTGGCGAAAAAGTGAAATATAGGGACATAACATGTCCATTTTTATATATATATAGATTAAAAATCATGGAGATTTGATCCCTGGGGTTAAGTACCCAGAGGAGATGATTAAGACTCTCATAATATGGTGAGACTTGATTATTTTTCTTGTCCTTGTTTTTATAAAACAACTCTGTATCTATCAGAAATGTCCTGATTGATGATATAACATAGCAAGTACAATAACTGTGCTGTATTTTGACAAAATATGAATGCTACACGTCAATTATAAAAAAAACTTGTAGCAAAAAATAAAAAATTGGGGATCAAGTCTCTCTCTTCTCCCCTAAATTATGGAAGCAAAAATAATTTAACATAAAGATACATGACATTAGGGAAGAAGATGGAATACTCTTACATTAGTTTAGTTATTTTTGAAGTTCATATTTTTAACATTAATTTAACATAAGAATGATTTCAATGTGTTTATGGAGACATTTTATTTTTTGTTTCCATGTTAATAGTATTCCTGAAGGACAAGTATTAGATCTCCAAAGCCTTAGAATACTTTATTTATTTTGTGAGATTTCTAGATTTATACATAAATTTGAAATATTCCATATTGTTTTAATAATTTTTAATTACTTATAAATCTAATCTAACCTGTTATCCATAGCCAAATAGTTTTTCATATATTTGATACTAATTATTAAATTAATGTGTAAAAAATTACTTAAATATGAATTTATTAGGTATATCTGTAGATATTCTCTACCATTATGATAATAAATTTAGCAAAACATTAATTTATTATATTATAACTTATGTTTATTTATTATTCTGGATTATAATTAAAGGTTTAAATGTATTGACTTATTCTGAAACAGTGTCTTCTTCTAATTATTCTTTACTAAGAATAAGAGGTTTAAATGTAATTACAATGTCACATTAATAATAATAATAATGTTATATTTTATCAAACAGGGTAATCTCCAACGGAGTAAAATCGTACAAGACCAGGTAGGAGAAGCAAAGTTGCAAGTATTAAAGATGTTGGAACACAGACCTCACATTGTAGACATCATTAGCAAATATATTAGTAAGAGAACTGTAAAAAAGAAAGAAAAAAATTGAAAGAAAAACTAATTTGAGAATATTTTAATAGGCAAACAGAATTTGTTTATAAAAATGACTCATTACAGTTTTAAAAACATCAAAAGAGACTTTTTATAAATATTATCATAATTGTATTTTTGTCACTTGTTTAAAGATAATTCTAATGCTTATGTTGCTTTGTTTTTACAACTTTTTTTCTGAAATGCACAATTTTCAACAAATGATACTCTTTGACATTATATCATTGTTATAAAAAAAGGGGGGACACGTTTTTCCAAATATCGTTTTAAAATGCAATGGATTGTTGCACAAAATGAAATATTTGAAAATATAATGTAAATATTATATATATATTGAAGAAATTTGTGAAATCGGATAAAACCAGAAACTGTATTCATTCAAAAAAAAACAATTTATAAATTTTTATTAATTGATTTAATTCATATATACAATCATTGTTTCAAATTTATTTTGTGAAAAAGAAAAAAAATTGAATTTTTCGGAAAAAAAATTTTAATTCGAGGAATAAAAGTGAGAGGAAACGAGTGTATACACAGGTTATCTCACTATTTTTAGTATGTTTATTGTGTATATTAATGTAAGTCACTTTCCTTGTAAATTACCATCATCACATTTGCAGGTTGATGTACATTTCCATCGAAATATAGGAATCAGAACTTCAACCAACATGAATGTGCATTTCACTGTCTATGTTAAAGCTTGTTTATGTCTAAATAAATAAATATGAAAATATTAGTGTGATTCGTCTTATAACTGAATGAGCACTACTATATATTTTCCGATAGATGGCAGCATGAGCACTTAGAAGCGAATTTGCATTTATAATAATTACGTGTATAATACGAAAAATGAAATTTAATGTACAAAAATTGAGGAAAAGTTACGCTAATTAGCCAAGAATAAAAAAAAAAACTTATGCCGAAACCCGGGATCGAACCAGGGACCTTTAGATCTTCAGTCTAACGCTCTCCCAACTGAGCTATTTCGGCTGATTCTTACAGCTGTAGTAATTGATATTCAGTAATTTTTGATGTAATAAAATTTCGATCACTGGATCTTGTTTCAAACTGAAATTTCAAGAAAGAATATTAAATCAGCAGTCTTTTTTCCAGTAAAATTAAATATGTAAAATATCAACAGACACTTAAGTAATAAAATTCGAACCAGGGATAAACATGGCGTGAATGCGTGAAGATTTTATTTTATCTTGGATGGCAGCATCCTGCCGCTCTGGGAGATCTGTGATCAAGTTCAGATCAGGAATTCATGGGTGGTTTCTATTCCGTAAAAGATGAACTCTCATCACTCGGTCTCCTCGTTGACAGTAGACATTAAAATAACGAAGTATCCAGATTCTCATGACTTGAACTCTGATTAGTTTCATTATTTATGAGTAATCGAGGACTTCATCACTTGTCTTCATTGACCGAATTCACTGCTATTCGAGTACGCATCCCCAATTTATATCCAAATTTTTAATATTAGTTTTATTTATTGGAAATATTTCATGCGGAATTGCATTTATCACATTTTTGTTTCCTGAAAATTTAAATTTTAAAATAATCAAAATAGCTTTAAATCTTCAAAATACAATAAAACTCCAATTATCCGAGTTAATTGGGACCTCGAGCCGTCCAGATATGCTTAATATCAAGATAATTGGACTTTTGCTCAAATACCAGTGATGTGTCGTCATTAGAAACGGTGGATGCGCCGCTTCCCTTGTATTTTATAAAAAATTACATGTTTATTTTAATTATATAAAAATAATCGCACAATATTTTATTATAACCGCATTATGTATCTTATTACAAATTTCTATACTACACGTGAAAAAAAAGATAAGATTTATATTGTATATTCGAATATTAGTGGCGGAGTGGAATCTCTATTGTCAGATTCCAAAAAGCCAGATTTGCGCACGCGCTTTACAGAGCACCAACCTCACCCGGTTTAGCCCAAGGTCTGTATAAGAAGGTCAGGACACGCTCCCGTGATTCTGGCCATTTTGGGACTCATCGATAGAGCTCACCATACGTGGTTCTTGCATGAGTCGACTATTATTACTTATATACGTACTTAAAACGTTAAGCAATGGGTTATTGTGTTGCACCTAATTGTAAAAGTAAGTCTATCGACGTTCGATTGTTCAGATTTCCTGCAGATAAGCGGAGGAAAGCAAAATGTAGCGTAGGCATCAACTGATGGTTCATGATGCAGTTCAAAGAGTTTATATGTTTAAAGTTTGTAACAAGTGGTCTAAACGAGTAGATACTCTTCGTGTTTATGAACGAACTATACATGGAAATTTATAAACGATATTGGCAATCCAGATATAAAACAAATGTAATTTTTTCATTTTTCTATCTGGTGATAAAATAATTAAGCATGTAATTGTTTTAATATGACCATATTGTATTTAAAAATAAAATTATGATGATGGTATTGACTTATACTCTCAATATTTATTAATAAAACATTGCAAAAAATTTAGTTTAATAGTAATTTATACTTAATTCAATTTAAATAAAATTTACATTAATTTTATTGTCAGAATTTTTATTTTAAAAGACGTGATGGAAATCTAAATGTATCTAATTCTTATAATCTAGAGATTCCATAATATTTAATTGATTTTATTTATATTTAATTTTTTCGTTCGCGTTTCAATAATTATTTTCCACTGATCATTCAAATCTTTTATCCTGAACATTTAAAAACAGATTTTATTTAATTAAAGTAAAATTGACTATTTAATTGTAAAAAAGAAAATTTTAGCATTATTTTGCTATGGCAACAAATATTCATATTTTGTTTGAATATATTGTATTCTATTCAAGTATTATTTGTCAGTTTATTGTCAAATAATTTAATTTAAAATTTTATATTTGGAATTTTTTGAAAGCTATTTATAAATTAAAAATATATCTACACATCTATTACTTATTATAAAATGAGTATTACATTGACAACATTTATTAATAATACTATTGAATTTTATCTTAATTTTATAGCCAATCGTGCTTTTAAAAAATAATTATAAATTTGTTATATTATTATATTCTTTATTATACTTTAAATTTTTTTTGATGTTATTGCATCACTTTACGAAGTGTCTATATACGTAATTGCATCAGTTTTAGCACCTATTTAATTAGTTTCAATCGCGACAGAAAATGATATAGATGATTGTTTCTTTTAAACTATTTGATCGAAAAGTTACATAAAATTGGGGTTGCGTAATCATCCGAAATTATTATTATATTTTCGACTGAAAATCACTGGATTTATGCAATTTTTGTTTAATTAATGTCGTATAAAACAGACTGCTCGTACAAGTTTGCTTAAAACATGCGACGCAAAATACCCCAAAATGGCGGCTCAATTAGTAGGTCACACGTGTCCTGACCTTCTTATACAGACCTTGGTTTAGCCGGTGGAAGCCTACGACCTCGGGTGGATGCTACACGTATAACGCATCCAATTCTATCCAAATCCGCTTCCGGGCTGTTAGCCGCCCGCTAGATATTTGGCCGCCCTTCGCCCGATTACGCGAATCACGAGTAGATTTATAACTTAACCCAACCGATAAGAATTTACTGATATGTTTTTACGATAGTTCTGTATAGTTGACAGGAGTTTAAAAAATCCATTAAAATATTTGATATTTTTATTCCGCCGCTCTTTGATTTTGTATTACTCACGTATTTCAATATTAAACCAGTGATATTACGATTTCGTATGTCCCATCTTTAAGGGGATGTAGAAAAAAACGTGTACAATTCTTGTATAATGTTAAAAAATTAACTGTTACTTTGACAGCGTCATTTACAACTAAATTTAATGAATGAGAGATGCACGAGGTACAGAAAAAGCTCTAGAATTTATATTCCTTAAATTTACGATTTATGTATCCGTTTGTCATAAAAATTTGTCTTTCCACTTTTTTCCCGAGACTGGAATAAAGGTATAAAGGTAAAGGGCTGTCCGTAGACTTAGCCACAAGAGGAAGAGAGGTATGGAGTGGGGTAGAGAAGGGAGAGGGAGTGGGAGGGAGAAAGGGTTGAAGGTAGAGTAAAGGTGGGTCCCGTTCACATCGCGCATTGCACTAAATGATAAAAGAACATAACATATGTACAAGACAGTGTAGCCCTTTGGGTAAGGTCCTAGACACTAGAGGTGAGTAGAAACAGGATAATTAGTGTAGTGCATACGTAGGATTGCTTATACATAGTTGGGATGATGCAGATGCTCCAATTACATGTGCTGATGAATCGTCGTCCTTGAGAGTCCACATGACCAGACGAGTCCGTTAATTGGGGTGAACGAGGTTAGTGCAGCTTTCGACGAACTTAACGAAGTGCCTATATGTCTCTTTGGTCTTGCACAAGAAGTCCGGCTCAGGTGGCCATGATTGTCCGTGGTGTAGGCAGTACGTAATAAGTTCACCTCTGTTGGCGTCTTGGTCTGTGCAGTCGAAGAGGTAGTGTAGGGCGTTCCCTTCGGTTGTAGTGTTACACTCGCAGCAAGGGTTGTCCTTTTTTCCAATTCTGTACAGAAAAGCAGGAAAATTCCCATGGCCGGTCAAGCATTGGGTGAGCGGGTAAGAGGAATTAACATGATGAAGCTTGTGCCTTTTTTTCCGATACTACAAATATTCGAGTACAAAGAAACCCGGTTTCGACTTACTTCTACTTAAGAAGTAGTTAAATAATTAAGCGATTAGGGAATTGGGGACACAAACAAAACCCTGACGAAAGAGCCGAAATTTTACTTAAAAGCTTAACCGAACCATCTCTATCCGAGTACAGTGGAGACGGATTTCTTCGTATTATTAATGTAATACAGACAGAAATTTTTCCAGTTCAATGAGAGTGACCGAAAAGTTGTAAATTTTGGAATTTTCCGTGGACAACACCTGGTCCTAAAACGAATTAGAAAACAAATGACTATTAAGTTTAACATACTTAGATTTTTACAGCTATGATGAGCAACGTTTAAAATCTACAACAGCTCTGTCGCGTCCTTTGAGATAAACTAGTGATGTGACAAAAGAGGTATTTGACATTGACCGGTATCGGCACCCTGGGGATTTGGCAGTCCGCGTGTATGCACGTTCTGCAACCGTCTTCGATTCCATCCATTAGCCACTCGTAGGTAGCTATTTGACCAAGTACATTGTTTTAAGATTTAAAAAGTAAAGAATATTTTATATTTTTATGTACGTTTCTTCACAAAGCTATATTTAATTATAATTTTCTTTAAAAGTATATTCATACAATTGAAGAATATTTTGTACCAGGTATCGGTACATTTACCACACATTTTATTTCACCGAATAAGTTTTTATTATTTTATTTTTAATTGTAGCCCTTATATCGTGGTTAGCGATTCGGAATGTAATTGCGATATTAAAAATACATTTAGAGAAGTCTACGGTTTTTACTGGCTTATCGAATAAACGATACGAATGGACGCTAGACCAGGGGTCGGCAACCTTTTGAGTCGGAAGAGCCAAAATTACAATTTACAAAATTTCAAAGTTTTTAAAGAGCCACAAAATTTTTTCTTGCCAACAATAAATAGTACTCGCATAAATAAAGTTTTTTGATAAAAAAAAAAATCTATTTATTCATAAGAAAAAATATCTATTTATTCATATATAAGTAGTGTTTTTCACAACAAATTAGATAATAGAAACATCCGACGACGGCGTCATTCGAG